AGCCAACCCGACTCGACCTGACTCGTGTTGAGCTGAGTCGTTGACTATTAACCACCGCTGGTGACTGTTGAACTCCATCGTTGATCGTTAACCACCACTGTTGATAGTTGATCGGTGTTGAATTTTACCATTGACTGGCATTGACTTTTTCTGAAGACATCTCTAGATATTTTTAACGTCCTAAATCTAATTTTGTGGTGTGTTTTACCAAATTCTAATCCAAAAGCCTCAAATCGAGACTGTTAAATTGAAAATGCTTAGTATTTTTAGCATTTCTCCATTGTTATTTGGGATTTGATTATGAAATTGATCTAGGATTATATTTTTATAAAGGTAATATGATTCCCCTTACCTAGGGCTAACTAGGTTCGACACTCCCCATCCAACAGATCTGTACTATCCACGTTCTTCGAGAACTACTCATAGGTTTTTATAAATAGTTGAATTAAAGTTTATTATTTATTATGTTAGGATTTTGATATAGTTCCTTCGATTCGTAGGATCTAGCACTATCGTCGATCATGATAGGCAGACCTGAGAGTAGGCTACAGTATCTGACTTCTCAGACTGATCATATTAGTGTTACAATATTGTGTTGAACTATTTGTATGATTGTTGTAAAATTCTGATTATATTAAATATTCGAATTACTTGATATCTGATTTACCGCATATTTCTGACATGATTCTAGTTATCGTATTTTCATATCTAATTTTAGAATATGGCATGTTTTAATGATTTAATAAATTAAACTATTGTTTTTGCTCAAATACATGCACATTTACTATCATTGGGGGTACGATTGGAGAAAGTATCTCAGACTTAGTCTATAACTTGTAAGACTTTATTGCATGTTCCTTTGCTTTGTACACAAGATAAGTCTTTACCGTAGGTCCTTATGCTATCAGTATAAGGTCATTACGGGTGTATATGTGGTTGTATGATTTAGGGGAACCTATACACTCTGTATGTTTTTATACACCACAAGGGGCACACTAGGCTTTATAGCTCACTCTTTAATTTTTTAATACTCAGAGCTTTTAGTTTAAACACTCAGATTGTGGATAAGTCATAAGTACTATATTTTCAAAAGATATTTTATGATGTTTTCAATTATCATGTCACCTCATTTAATGAGTTTTAAATAGATTTGAGATTTCTGATGTCATTCTAACTTAGGTTTAAATTATTTCTGTAGAATCTTATGTTAAAGTATGCCCAAAGACCAATCATATGATGATTGTAATAATACATTCACTTACCGATTTTATTGAATAAAGACATTGCCACTATTATTTTCAGTTATATGTCTGTGTTTAAAATAAACTGAAATATAATAAAGTCCATATAATAACATTATTATTATTAAAAGATCCATAGTCAAGTATTATTATGGGCATGGACAATAATAATACGCTTAAGACTAACATGTTATTGATTGATGACAACGAGTTGTCATTGACATAGAGATATCAGAATTGATACATGATTATATTGTTAGAGAATAATGTATTGGATTGACCCATCATGAGCATATGTCTTGGATTATTATGTAAAGGTCATAACATTGCTCATGGTGATGACTATATGTATGATCCTCAGAATTGAGATCAATGTTATCCCAACAAATATTGTTGTATGTTTTGATACAGTTAAACATGCTTTGTAACTGGTTGAACTATAAAAAATTGTTATTGAATATATCTCGATATATGTAGTGGGTGCGTATGATTAAGATAGGATTTTTCCTTCCTACATAATAGGAAATATATCACAAGCCACTTGATTGAGTGAGACTAGAAATGCATGGCAATGCTCGAATAAGTTGATATGAGATATCACAAATTATTCATTAATTATAGTCTACTCTAGATATCAAGAAACAATAGATGGACTATACAAGTGTGACTATTCCAAGACTTGTGCCTATTATAGATATAAAGGACAAAATGATGTAATACATAAAAGAGTTAATCAGGAAGATGATATGTCGAATCATAATTTCTTGTAACTTAGGTGACAATGATATATTGCTAGATGTCACTCATTGTATGTAATATTAGAATTATTCTAGTAATTACTACTAAAGTTACAAGAACCTACAAGGTCACACCCTAGGATTGAAATGAGATATAGGTCGATTCAGGAGACCTTCTAGTTCCGGTGGTGCTACTGCGCATCCCAATAATAGAGGTAGGGCCGAGTCTTCTTAGAATAATGGTATGAGTTATAGGCATGTAGTATCAGCCACACCGACAGTTCCAACTTCTAGTTAGAGTGGTTCTTCTAGTGTACCGCTATTTTCCACATGTGAGTATTTTGGGAGATGTCATTTTGATGAGTGCCTAAAGACGATGGGTACTTCTTTCATATGGTAATCTAGAGACCATTTATCGAGAGAATGTCTTGAGCTAACTCTTGTTGGCCAGGCACCAGTTCAAACTCTTACTCGTACTCAGGGTATAGTTTAAACTGAAGATGGGGCTCATAGTTAGTCGAGAGCATATGGGTCTACTAACAGAGGGTGACCTTATTAGAGCAGATGTACAGCTCGAACTAAGGCCAGACAGTTTGGGTTAGTCTATGTTGCTAGACGTCAACAATATCATGATGATACTAATGTGATTACATGTATTGATACCCATTCCTATGTATTGTGTTCTATAATTGGGGATCTTAACATCCCGATTGAGAATACCAAGAGTTATGTGACAATTCAAAGTCCCGTAGGTCAGTCTATTGACTTGGATCAAATTTTTAGAGGATGTCTTATAGAGATCCATGTGGAGATCTTATTGGTCAACTTAATGGAGTTATCTTTAGAAGAGTTTGACTTGATTCTTGACATGGATTGGCTGGACAAGCATCGAGTTAATCTCAATTATGAGACTACAAGAGTTATTCGGAAGACTCTTGATAGAAAGATACTGATGATTTAGGAACATTATGGGTTCTTAACGAACATTGTGTTCTCTTTGGTACCTGAAAAGATGATCAAGAAGGGTTCTGAGGTGTTCCTCGCTTATATTTTGGATATCATGGGTTCCCAATCTGACATAGAGATAATCTGGACCGTTAAAGAATTTCTCAATATATTTCTCAAAGAGTTGCCTTGATTACCAATGGATAGAGAAGTTGAGTTTGAGATTAAAGTCTATTCTGATTCGACTCTAGTTTTGATGACTCCTTACCGTATGACCACTTGAAGCTTAAGGAACTGAAGGTCCAACTCCAGTAGTTGTTGAATAGGGGATTCATTTGACCTAGTATTTCACTGTGGGGTGCTCCAACTCTCTTTGTAAAAAAAGGGTGGGATATTAGACTTTATATTGATTACATGAAGCTCAACAAGCTCACAATTGAAAACAAATATCCCCTGCCCAAGATCGATGATCTGTTTGACCAGTTTCGAGGGTCTACCATCTTCTCGAAGATAGACTTGAGGTCTGGGTACTACCAACTCAAGGTGAAATATTCTAACATCCCAAAGACTGTATTCCGTAATCGATATAGGCATTACAAGTTTTTAGTGATGTAATTTGAATTAACCAATACTCATGCTACTTTTATCGATTTGATGAATCATGTATTTTGACCTTATTTGGACTAGTTTGTGGTCGTGTTCATAGATGACATATTGGTATATTCCCGGACTGAAGTAAAGCACGATGAGCATTTGAGGATCATTTTACAAACTTTAAGTGGGCATAAGTTGTTTACCAAGTTGAGAAAGTGTGAGTTCTGGCTTAGCCAGATGGCTTTACTAGGACATATCGATCTGTTGAGGTATTTAGGTGGATCTGAGTAAAGTAGATGCTATTATGATATTGGAAGAGATCTAAGAATGTCTTAGAGATTCGTAGCTTCTTAGGCTTGGCTGGCTATTACCGTCAGTTTGTTGAAGGTTTCTCCATCATTTCAACTTCTCTAACGAAGTTGTTGAGGAATGCCATTCCTTTTGTCTGGTTCAAATCTTCTCAGTCTAGCTTTGAAAATTTGAAGATAGTTATGACTGAAGCCCTAGTGTTGATTCAACCCGAGTCTGGGAAAGATTTTTTTCAGTTTACAGTTATGCTTCTCACTATGGACTAGGATGTGTTCGGATGCAGGATAAAAAGGTTGTAGCTTATATGTCTCGTCAGTTAAAGTTACATGAGTGCAATTACTCCTCCCATGTTTTGGAGTGAGTTGCAATGGTCTTTGCTCTAAAGATTTGGAGACATTATCTCTATGGAGAGAAGTGTTATATCTATATCGACCATAAGAGTCTAAAGTATCTGCTTACTCAAAAAGAGCTTAATCTGAGGCAGCATCGCTGGTTGGAGCTTTTGAAGGATTATGATTGTGATATACAGTATCATCTAGGTAAGGCCAATGTGGTGGTCTATGCCTTGATTCGTTTGAAAGTATTTGAACTGAGAGACTTGTTTGCCAAGTTGAGCATGTATGACGATGGCAGTATGTTAGCAGTGTTACATGTTAAGCCGACCTTAGCTGAGGAGATTAAGACTAATTAGCTCCTAGACAGCTCCTTACTTTCCGTTATCGAGCAAGTTATGTAGGGCTCGAGCTCGGATCATACTCTTAATCAGGATGTATTATGTGCTTTCACGTTCGTTACTGTGTTCCTAGGGATGGTGAGTTAAGGCAAACAATTATTTAAGAGGCTCATAGTAGTTCTTACGCCATGCATACTGGTGGGGATAAGATGTACAAGAATATCAAGGAGTGTTAATATAGGGTTGGAATGAAAAAGGATATTTTTGATTTCATAGTGAGGTGTTTGACTTATCAGTAGGTTAAGGCAGAGCATCGACACCCATCTGGTCTATTGCATCCCATTATAGTTCCAGAGTAAAAATGGGAGCACATCACAATGGATTTTATGAGTGGTTTACCTCTTGACTTATTCTAAAAAGGATTATCTCTAGGTGAATGTTGATCAACTCACCAATTCAGCTCACTTTCTTCTTGTTCGAGTTAATTATCCCCTGGACAAGATGGCTAAGTTATATATCTTTGAGATTCTCATACTTTATAGTGTTTCGTTGTCTATCATCTCTGACAGAAACCCGAGATTTACTTCTAGATTTTCGAAGGCTCTAAATGAGGCTCTAGGTACTCATCTGAACTTCAGTAAAACTTCTCATCCACAGACTGATTGTCAGTATGAGAGAATGGTACAATTTTTGGAAGATATGCTACAGGGTTATGTGATTGACTTTTGTAGTAGTTGGGAGGACTTTTGGTTGTTAGTCGAGTTTTCTTACAACAAAAACTACCAGGCTAGTATCTACATGGAACCGTATGAGGCTCTGTGTGGAGGTAAATTTCATATTCTTATATGCTAGACTGAGTTGCATGATAGGAAGACGTTGGGTCCAATGTTAGTCCAAGAGATAGAAGATACTATTAGATTGATCTGTGATCATTTTAGAGAGGCCTTTGATAGAAAGAAATATTATGTGCTGAGGTTGTGGATCAAGTTTTCTGAAAGTATTTCCGTGGAATAAGGTGTTGAGGTTTAGACACAAGGGTAAGTTGAGTCCAAGTTTTATTGGGTTGTACCGTATTCAAAAGAGAGTCGGACATGTCGCTTATAAGCTTGAGTTGCCACCCCAGCTTAGCCGCATTCATGATGTTTTCCATGTATCTATGCTGAGGCAATACCATCCGGATTCAAGTCACATTATTCAGATTGAGGATGTAGATTTAAGACCTGATTTGTCTTATGAGGAGGAGCCTGTTCAGATTTTGGATCAGGATAAGAGAGTTCTTAGGAACAGACGTATCATGATGGTCAAAGTTCAGTGGAGTAATCGTGGTCTCATAGCGGCTATGTAGGAGGCGTTTGAGTTGATAAAGGCTCAATTCTCGCATTTGTTCAGACTAGGTAAATTTCGAAGACAAAATTTCTTTTAAGGGGGAAAGTTATCACACTCTAAAATAGGGCTTAGTTTTTTTCCTAATATTAATTCTGAGGATTAAAATGAATTTTAATTAAATTTAAGGTCTAAAGTGAAGTTTTCATTAAATTCTTGACAAATTTGTGAATTATGAAAAGCTTGAGGACTTATGGCATGATTTAACTATTTTCTAAATATGTTGGATTTAAAACCCCTTTTTTCCTAAATGTTTCTTCATTTGGAAACTTTTCTTTTCTCCATCTTCAAATTTTTTCTTTGGAAAAATTTTCCCAAAAAAATTTAAACATCGTTTTTCCACTGATCGTTACTTCGTTTGGTACACCACTCGTACCATAGGTGTAGGCATGTGTTTTCATCCTAGAGTTTCCTTTTGTTTAGTTTATTTTTGTTTTATTTTTTTTTGGTTTATTTTTATAATATAACATTATAATTATATATATATATATATATGTATGTATGTATACTATATATATAGTTTGAAAAATATGTATATAATATATAGTTTTGAAATATATGGTATATTTTTGAAAATAAATATATAATAAAGTATTAAAATATATAAATATAATAATCTAAATACATATTTTTCTTTTCAAGTTATTTTTATTTTTATTTTATTAATGTTATATATTAAGACAGGTACAAATCCAATTCTAGTTTGGGTTCAAGTTAAAGGTTCAATGGAGGTCCGGGTTGGCATCCAGGCCTAGTTAAGCTCACAAGCCTGACCCAGTAGGTTAGCCCGTTCAAGGCCCAAGAAGCAACAGTCTAGAATACAAGCTCGAAACAGGATTCATCATACAAGCAGTCACCCAGGCTAGCTCAAGCCCAGATTGGGGAATCAACATTTAGGCTCGATGAGGCTAAAACTTAGTTAGGGTTTTCCATATTTAGCTTTCAACTATCGCGTGATCTACACCGTTAGATTTGGTAAAGATCAACAGTCTACGAGGCATCATATTTAGGGTTTTAACCTTAGACATTAGTCAGTCGCCGCCTCCAGTGAAGACCAAAAGGCCACCGATCAAGCGCGTATGCTTCATTTAGCCACCCCCACTTGAGCTGCCGATATCACTGGCCAAATCCAAAAAATATAGGGACATTAAATGCACCATGCCGCCCCTACCTAGTCACCTCCATAGCCCGGTGACTCAGAGGGCTTCTTCTCTCTGACCGGTCTGAATAGTGACTTGGGGGTTCTATAAAATCAACCCATAACCTGAAAAAAGCCCAAAACAAATTGGACCAAGCAACACCACAACAGAGATCAAAAACTAAACCAAGAATAGAGGATTCAAACCAAAACCAAATAAAATAACCCCTTTTTTTAAGTATATCCGACCGTGGAGGACTTCACCGAAACAGTGAGATTTGTCATCAAAGGTAAAAGTTTTACCTTTAAGGATTTAGATCCCATTTTTAGGGGGTTTGATTTAGGTAGTTTTGGGGTTTCGGGATCTTTTTAGGTTCTCGAAGGGTGTAAAGAAAGAAAAAGAGGTGAAGAGGTTTATTTTACCTTCACTTACGGTGCCGATTTATGGCGTCTGGATGGCCTTTGATGTTATTAGTGACAGGATGAGAGTAGAGAGAGGGGAGATCATTTTAGATTTTTTTAGGGTTAAAAGAATAAAATGGGAGAAATAAGAAAAGAGAGGTCGGTTAGGGCCTTATTTTTTTGTCATATATTGAAACGACATCATTTTAAGGAGTTATGGCCATGCGGAAATGACGTAGCTTTAGGGGTCGGGGAAGTGCTTCAGTGCCTGATTTACTGTTAATTGCATATTAAGTCCCTCAGGATTTGTATTTTAATTTTTTGGTCATTAAATGAAAATTCTTGCATGTTTAATTTTGTTTTGTTTACATTTTGGCCACCACCTGTTTGTTGAGCTATATTATTGTATTTATCTACATAGATAATTGTTACATGTATATATATTTTACTATTATACTATTATATTTACCAATCTAGGTAATTTATACAAATATATATATTTTATTGTTATATGATATGTTATATGTTATTAATCTATACGTAATTTGTACATATATATATATATCTTTTTGTTATATTATATGTTATATTATTTTATTTACCTACATAGATAATTTACATGTTATTATATTTAATTTATATATATCTATGGTATGTTTTGAATATATTCTAGGTCATTCTTTCAATTTAAAGTGTTTGATACCCTCGTAGGCATAACTCGACACAAAATCAAAATAATTTGACTAAGAATAATATTCATTCATTTTAAAATTATCGTAAAGTGACTATCTTGACGTATAAGAAGTTCACTTTCGAATATTTTAAAATGAAAGTATATCTCATTAAATGAAATCCTGAAATTTGACCTCACTTAAAATTTGGGGAATAAAAGAAAAAGAAATGTTCCTCTATTTAAATTCTTCGAGAAAAGATCGTTAGAACTTATCTAAGGTCCAATCTCAACGTCTTTAAATATTCAAATATTTTTTCTTCTTTCTAAAAGGATCGATATTTTTAAATTATTTTGATTTCATTTCTTACATTGGAGCAGGAATTAATTATCTCAAAGTACGAGAGATTAGTTCCTCTCGATAGGAAATAATTAAATATTATGATATTTCATTAAAAAAATTCAATATTTTTATTTGAAGGGATCGTTAATTAAATTAAATTAAAGCTAATAAATTTTATTGCAAAGACAAATAATTAATGGACAAGGTACCGAATAGGATGTTGTGGGGGTGCTAATCCTTCCCCACATGTAACCGACTCTCCAACTCATTTTCTGGTACGCATACCTTTTTAGTGTTGTTTTAATAATTTTTAAATTGAATTTTATTAAAATAACAAAATATTTTGGGTGTCCCATCAAGCCCTAATCAATGATTGGTGACAACTCCTTAAATCGTGTTTTATCTTATTTAAGAAGGAAAACATCAAATTATTCGAGACGAGATTTTTAAATCACACCATAAAAGAATTGAATTTTTTTTAAAAAAATCATTTCAACAACTTAACAACTCTGCTGGGGAATGATTTTAGAGAGTAGAGCCATAAGTTCATTAAATAATTATCTTTGCAAGAAAAATTATAAACTTGTTTTAGTTTATGTTTTAGTCCCTTGATTGTTTTAAATAAATGTTTTTTGTGCAATTTGATTAGCAATTAAATAGTTGTATTGATTCATTTGTTAATCTTTTCAGATTAATTATGTCTTTATTGGAATTGAATGAGTGTCGTGTGTTGTATGATTATGTGTTTCTTTTTTAGCTTTTCCTCACACATTGTACACTGCATTATCATGACATGAGCTAAAGCCCCGCTCCATCCTATTTTAGTAGGAATGAGAAATTACTCCCTCGTGTGGTTTTCAGCTCCGTATGGGATAGTGGATCACTTCTGGAACTCATGCCTTATGGTCCTCGTGATGGTTTTCACCTCCCTATGGACATAAAAAAAAGTGTGTTCCCTTGAATTGAACTCGATCCAAAAACTTGTAATATGCCAGGATTAAGGGTTTGGTAACCCAAAGGGGCACCAACAAGGAAAATTTAAGTATCTCTTATTTTAGAGCCTAAATCAGTATATAGTGAGCCTAAAACTCCATCCTATGTAGAGCTCGACCCAAACATTAGAAATCTCATGAGGAGAGCACACAAGGAAAAGCTCTTTTGAGTCTTTTAATATTCTATAGTACAATTTTACTTTCCTAATAAATGCATGAGAACTAAAAATCATGCGGTTAGGTTTAGTTTTCAAACAAGAATGCGAATTAGATATAACGCGGTTAAGATTTTTTGTGAATAACAAAGCATGTGGGTAGAAAGCATGTTTGGGTAGGATTTATCATACCGTGTATGAATAGTCAACCTGTGAGGGTAGGTTTTATTTGATGCTTATAGTACTTACTATCTTGTTGTTTATCTTATTTGTAGTAACCCATTCTTGTTATTTTATTTTGATTTTATTTTCTTGCATTTTCATGTCATCCAAAGGTGCTAATTCGCAAGTGATTGACTAAGTAAGAAGATTATTCATAATGAGACAAACAATTCTTAGCCATTTAGTCAAAATTAGGAGATCCAAAGATGTTCAAACGATCCATAAAGAAAGACATTCGAGGATTGAAGAAATTTGAAGCTGAGTGAAGGCTTTCTTTGAAGACGCAAAGGGCGAGATGCATCCTTAGGAGACAAATGCAATCAGATTAAGGACAAAAAGACCATTTATAAAGACATGAAAACCACTTCGTGTTGGAAGTAAAAATTGAGATACAAGATTTAACCATAAATAATTTAAGGACATATGACGTCATCAAATGTGAAAAAGCACACTGACAACTTTGGTTGCAAGGAAATAAAGAAATGAAGAATCGCAATTTTGTTTTGACTACCTGGTGTAATGAAGCCTTGTTTTCTAAATGAAGGTTGTTATATGGTGGTCACTTATGGAATTAACACCTTTTGAATTTGCATTTGACATCTACATTTGCATTCTCACTGCTTTAATTTAAGCATTTTTACATGCATCAATCATGAAAATGTGAGAGTAACTCATGAAGGATACTGTGACAGAAGTTCTTAAAGAAAATTGAAGTTACTCGAGGCGTGTCTATAGAAAGATCGAAAGCGATGAATGAGATATTAACACGTGTTAGTAGGATCTAGAGAATTCAGGAACAACTCTTAAAGACTCAACAAGAAATGATTGATGAAGCAAGGAAGTTCCAAGTTGAATCTAGATAATAGATGTCCAAGTTGATGAGCATGATGGTCACAGTGATATATAAGGAGAAATCATTAGAAGACTTTATTGTGCAAGAAAAGATGAAGACTTTGAATGAAAATTTGAATGTCGTTTGTGCAGCCAATACGATGACAATAGATGATCAAGAACCTGTTGGGGAATATGGTAATCCAAGT